AGGCCCAGCAGGTCCCCACTTCTCAGGGAAAGCCTGCCTACTTCCGGGAGGAGGAAGAAGAGATCCACAGCCCCGCCCTGCTCCCAGAAGCCCAGAATTGAGGCACCAGAGCAGGGGGGAGTTTCAAGGAGGAGGCATCAGTCTGCAGAGTGGAGAAAGTGGGGATAGGGTGGGTTGTGGGTAGCTGGCACTGCCATGTATCTGAGGCCGGGGTTCCCAGTATCACCCTGTCTTCCCTTGGTGGGGGGAAAGGGAGAGGCAATGGAAACTCCGACCATACTTCATCTAAATGAAAGTGAAGGCTTTTGTGGGGACCCACCCTAGAACCTGCATGCTTTAGCTGAGGCTTTAACCTAAAATGACATGCTTTTGAAAGTGGCTGGGATAGGCAGGTTCTTCTGTTGAAGGCTGTGCTCACTTGCCAGACAGGGTGTGAAACAAGTGTAAAACCACATGAATGAACCTAACCCCCCAGCTATTCTATTCTGTGGGAGGGACTCTTCGGGAGCCAGGCAAGGTTTTTTCACATCTTGCTTATTGATCACCAGTCCTGGGATGCAGTGCTGGAGCCGTATCAGTGTCTAGCAACAGGTTGTGATGACAGGCAAAGAGGGTGCTTGGGGGTGGGCAGTTGCACACCTGTTGTTGCTACCTCACTCCCAGTGCTTTCTGGGCCAATGTGATTTTAATTTATTTTCCCTTGGGTAACTGCACCTTGGGTCCCACTTTCTCTAGGATGCCAACTGCACTATCTGTGTGCGAATGACGTATCTTGTGCATTTTAATTTTTTTTCTTAATATAAATAATCAGTTTGTATTTTTGTATATTTTAATCTAAGGCCCTCATTCCTGCACTGTGTTCTCAGGTACACGAGCAATCTCAGGGATAAGTCCACAAGCAGCTCCAGGTCTGCACAGCAGGAATACTTTTTGTTTTGATCACCATGGAGACCAACCATTTGGAATGCACAGCCTATTGAACTACCTCATTTTTGCCAATTACAGATGGCGTTTCTGCCATATAGTCCTTAAAACCTTCGTCCACCTTAAAATGTTTCACAGGAGGCTAGGTTTTAATTAAGCTACCCATGACTTGATCTCAGTTTTTTTTTTTTTTTTTTTTTTTTTTTTTTTTTTTTTTGGCAAAAGAATTAGTCTAAACAGGAAAAGATGGTACAGAGATATCAAAAGGCTGGGCCAGGTAAAAGGCACAAGAGTAATTTTCCATCCCAAATCCATCCCTCACCAGATTATCAAAGCCTGCCATACACAGCAGGGTGTGAGAGTGTGTGTGTGTGTGTGTGTGTGTGTGTGTGTGTGCTGGTTTTTTTAAATGCAAATTTATGAGGATGAGGTTTTTTGTTTGTTTGACTGTTTTTAGATACTGGGATTGAACCTTGGGCCTCGTTTGTGCTAGAACATATCCTACCACTGAGTTCTCCTGGTCAGGGTAGAATTTAAGACCAACACCCTTATCCCCACACTGCTGTCTAGGGATGGGGACAGGAAACAAGGACTTCAATCTAATCTTGGCTTCCAGAGAGACTCCAGGAGTGTGGTCCTCTGTGGCAAGTGTCCCGCCCTGCTGCAGTGTAATGGTTGATAGCTAAAGGAAAAAAAGGGGGGGGGGGAGGATTCGTTTACATGTTGTGAGATCACTGCAAACCTACCTCACTGTGTTGGAACGGGACAAATGCAATAGAACACATTGGGTGGTGTGTGTCTGATCCTGGTTTCTTGTCTCCCCCAAATGCTGCCCCCTCCCTAGTTATTGTATTCGTCTGGCCTTTGTAGGACTTTACTGTCTGAGTTGGTGGTTGCTAGGTGGTCTAGTTGTGTAAATATAATGTGTTGGTCTTCATGTTCTTTTGGGGTTTTATTGTTTACAAAACTTTTTGTATTGAGAGAAAAATAGCCAAAGCATCTTTGACAGAAAGTTCTGCACCAGATGGCTGCATCTGAAACCTAAGTGTGGGGTCCTCTTCTCAAAGTGAGCCTCTGGAACCACGGCTCCCCTTCTCTTCTCCTCTTCCCCTGTCTCCCATTCTGGATCACATCTTTCTGACCTTAAAACAGCTCCTATACTATCCTCTTCTCCCTCATAAGAAAACTTACACAAAATTACCCCTTGGAATGTCTCTACAACTCTTGAATGACCCATATAAAAATTCTGAAGAAGCCATGAACCTCACTCACCCCTTGCTCCCAGACTCAGTCAAGAGTTTTGGTTGGTTGTTTTGAGACAGGGTCTCACTCTCTAGCGTCAGATTCCTGGCTATCCTCCTGCCTTAGCCTCCTTAGTGCAGGGATGGCAGGTGAGCTACTTCTCCCTGGCAAGACCACTTCTTGGTGTGATTCACTTTTAGATGGATCAAACTGAATTAATCTACAACCCTTAGGTAGAGAGAAGCAATTGTGGGGCCTTCCATCTGAAGACCAGAAAAGGGAATATGAATGTATAAGTAAAGTCACTCAGGAACTTAATGCCGGTGCAAGAAACTTATGTCAAAGTGGCCACAAGATTGTTACTAGGAGACGGACGAATGTAACTCCATGTTTACTGCTAGAAACCAAAGCTTTGTGAGAAATGTTGAATTTATGGGGAGGGGGTGGGGAAAGTGTGTACTTGTCTGTCCTTTCCCTGACCCCTTCTCTGTCCTGAACTGCAGGAGACTGAGCCCCCTTGGGCTTTGGTGGCCCCAACACTGGGGTGTTTATTTCATGGTTGATTTTTTTACTGTACCCGGGTACTTATATATTCCTATCGTATAATCATTTTGTATAACACATGCTGACTTTCCCTTCCCTTCTTCCCTGGGAAAATAAAGACTTATTGGTACTCAAACTGTTCTCTCATCAAATATTTAGGATGCTTTTCTCTTCTCATAATCCCTACCTTGGATTGGGAAGTCACAGAGCCGTTGTGTTTCCCCTTCCCACTTTGTTAGGGATGAATCTTGAAAGTTCAGCCCTTATAGCACCTCATTACACTGGATTTTTGTTTCTAGTTAAGGCCTCTTGTCCCTTCCTTGGAAGCTGCCACATTCAAGAGGGGATTAGGGGCCTGGCATGCATAAGAATGGGGATGCCTATGCCACTGGCTGGGATGAAAGGCCGGGGCCAGGGCTTAGGGCATGAGACCCTAATAATACTTTGTCCTTTACTCCTCAAAGCCCTTTACAAATCCTAATTAACCCCTTGCAACACCCCAAAAAGGAAAATACCGAAGAGAACTGGGGAAATTGAGGCCAAAGGACATTCCCTGACTGTAAGCCAGCATTTTGAGATACAGTTTGCTGGCTTTCCTAATGCTTAAATGGTTTCCAAAGGAGAGGAAGATTTTAATGGGGGCAACAGGGGGGCTTGACCAGGGGGAAACCTAACTATTAACAGAAAGTGGATTAAATAAATCCTCACACTGTTAGCAGAGCAGGGGGGTTGTGACCCTTTAACTAATTGCACTAAAAGTTAAACCTAGCAACCCTAGCTATTAGGCTTCAGGGTACTAATGGGGCTTCCTAAAAAATATTAGCAGAAACTTCACAGCTCACAAAAGAGGAAGAATGGAAGTGTAAGACCTGGTGAATGGGTTATGCATCTCCACAGGTTTAATGATGGGCGGCATCTCTTCCTTGCCCAGTGTCATTGAGACTGTAGGGCAAATGAGCTAAAATGGTTCACTGGAATTGTGAAATTCCTTCACAGATGGAACTATGATTTGAAACAGACGCATCAGATATGGAAAATTCAGGAACTTTGTTTTATTTTGTGTTTTAAGCTTTGAGAAAGTAGAAGTAACAACCTCTCCCTGATCAGTATCACTAAGTAAAAGGCCATAGGTAGTACATTTGAAGACATGTCTCATGAAGCCCATGCAAGCCCCAGTTTTGTTATGTTCGGGATCCAAAAGTTCTGCAAACTTTGGTATACAAATAATGCTTTTGATTTCTTACTTTACTTGACTATGTATGGTCTTTTCTATTTATTTATTTATTTATTTATTTATTCGGGACAGGGTTTCTCTGTGGAGACTGTCCTGGAACTAGTTTTTGTAGACCAGGCTGGTCTCAAACTCACTGAGTTCCACCTGCCTCTGCCTCCCGAGTGCTGGGATTAAAGGTGTGCGCTGGTCTTTTCTATTTTTAAAATTGTTTCTATTTAGTTTGGAGGCTGGGTATCCCAAAAAAGCTCAAGATATCCTCAAACTCTAGGTCACCTAAACTCGTTTTCCTGCCTTCCACTGGCACCATGATGTTTTTGTGCTGGGCTGGAAACAGAGCCCAGAACTGACATGACAGGCAAGCACCGACTCTGCTGTATTCCCCAGCGCAATGGCCAGTTAGTTACTTTAGAAGTAAAGCTCTTTCTGGCTTTTAAGTTATGTAGATCTTGGGAACGTGTAAATTATGAATTCTGGATGTTTTTAGTCAGTGACCAGAGCAAGGGACCTCCTTCTGATCAGTTAATACCACTAAAAGGCGGTAAGTAGAAATACATTAAATATTTTTTAAGAGACAATGTCCTGTACAGACTAGGCTGGCCTCAAATTTTACTATGTAGCAGAGAAGGCCTTGAGCTAATTATCCTGGCCTCAGTCTCCTGAATGCTGAGTTCAGGGACAATGCGCCACCATTTTTCGCTATATAGCAGAGCTTTAGAAGGAACCCAGATCATCCGTGCACGGTTTACATCTACAATCGCAGTAGCTGGAGTCCAAGGCAGGAGGATTGCCGAGAGTACGATGTCTCCCAAAATATAAGCACTTCAGTCATCCAAAGAGAAACTTTAATTTCTGAGGTGCAGCTCCCATCTCACGCCACACCCCGCGGCCGTCATCGGCAGTCCAGCACCCGGGGCCGAGCAGGATGACCTCCCGGGGCGGGAACGAAGGCCGCTGTTTCTACGTCCCCGAGGGAGCCTGCCCCTGCCCCAATGGAGCTGCCCCGAAGTCCGCAGGCGCAAGCCGCGGCCCCGCCCACCGGGGCCGGAGGAGGCGTGTCCTAGCGCGCAGCGGTGACGTGTTCTTCCAGCGCCACGTCGTGAGTCGTCCAGGAGCCGTGGAAAACGCTTCCCACGGCGTCTTAGGTGCGGAGTGGACAGAGGGACCCACCGGAGCGGAAGCTTGGCGAGGAGGCGGCGGGGGACAGTAAGGTCCGCCCCGAGGACTGACTCCGCGACCACCAGGGTAACAGGTGCGGCAGCCGATGGGGGATGGTGATTGCTTAGCCCAGAGGGAGAAATGGCTTGCGGGGGTAAAATAGAGGAGGAAGTTACGGGAAGCGACCAAGATGTAGGCACCATGTGTCAGATAGTCGGAAGAAATCTGTGCACATAAGAATAAGAAGAAAAGGAACCGCCGAGCGGTGGTGGCACACGCCTTTAATCCCAGCACTCGGGAGGCAGAGGCAGGCAGATCTCTGTGAGTTCGAGGCCAGCCTGGTCTACAAGAGCTAGTTCCGGGACAGCCTCCAAAGCCACAGAGAAACCCTGTCTCGAAACAACCCCCCCCCCAAAAAAAAAAGAGAGAGCCACCTCGTCCGAAAGGTTTCCTGTTGGCTTGTACAGCCCTGAGTGGTGAAAGATTACACCAGTGTCTCAGGATTCGGATGCTGGACGATTACCAAAGTCCAACATCGTCTCTGAAAGTCAGGTTTGCTTAATTGCAAGCACGATGACTTCTCTTTCATTTATTCAGGGTTATCTGGTTGGTGTTTTGTTCTGGGGTGATTTCTGACATAGCAAGAATTATGTCATGGATCAAAGAAGGAGAGCTGTCACTTTGGGAACGGTTCTGTGCCAATATCATAAAGGTAAGTAAGCAGTAGCCCAGTGGTCAAGTTAACCTTTTGGATAGTTGGGGGAATGTTGTTAAAATTTATTATTAAATTTTAGCATTCTCTGTTAAGTTGTTAAGTGGAGTTCAGCAAAGAAAAGAGATAACCTTAGAATTATAATGTAGCCGGCAGGGCCACATTTCTCGTCTTTATTGTTCCAAGTAACTTTTTAAAGGTGAAACAGGATTTCTTAATATCATTACACAACATAGACTGTTAGATTTTCCTTCTGGAAAATTGAAATTTTGGTTGTAGGAATGTCAGAAGAGCTCACTGACAGGGTGTTTACTAGTTATGCACAAGACCTGAGTTTGAAAAAAAAGAGAGTGTGAATATGAATGAGAATGAACTGAAATTTGTCTCCTTAGAGCAGTATTCTCAACCTATGGGTCATGATCCCTTTGGTGTTTGAATGGCTTTCACGGGTGTTACATGTTAGATATTCTGCATATCAGATATTTGCCTTGTGATCATAACAGTAGCAAAATTGCAGTTCTGAATTAGCAATGGAAATAATTTTAGGGTTGGGGGTCACCACAACATGAGGAATTATATTAAAGGGCCCCAGCATTAGGAAGGTTGAGAACCATTGCTCTAGAGTTCCCATCCACTTTTTCTTATACTATCTACTGAGTTAATCTTTCTTTGATGGTTAAGACTTCGGCCTCTAGAAGCAGACAGCCATGATGGAAACTTCCTATAATTTATCAGCCATGTGGCTTAACAAACACGTCTTTATGAGTATTAAATATATATGCAAAGAACTTAGTACAGTGTCTAGTGGTACAGTATACACAGTACATGTGAAGGTCATTGAACAACTTTTGGGAGTGGGTCTTGGGGATGGAACTCAAACTGTTAGGCTTTGGAGCAAGCACCTTTACCAGCTGAGCCATTGTGAAGGCCCCATCAAGAATCACAAAGGTGTCACATCGTGTGTGTGTGTGTGTGTGTTAGGTGTTAATGCAAACTAGTCAGCCTGATTTTGCTTTGTTTTTTTCTACAAGCAGCATGTAACAAAGAATTTAAGTCAGTAAGAATTGGATTTCCATATACTCACATATGAATGCCAGCAGGCCAGAAAATGAAAACTCTTTCCTCAGGAAACTATGTATGAAAGCTTTGTGTTGGCAAATACAAGGTGCTTGTCAAAGTTAGATTTTTGAAAAGGCTTTATGTAGAAGACAAGAGAAGACTGTGGATGGATGAGCTGGGAAGATGGCTCAGTGAATAAAGGCTCTTGCTAGCAAGTTCAGTAGCCTGAATTCAACCCCATAACCTACACGGCAGGAAGATAGAACTGAGTTCTTTATAGGTTGTGCTCTGACCTTTACATCAGTATTGTAGCACAAACAAACAAATAGATATACACACCCCAAATAAATGAAATTTTGAAAAAAGTAGACACGTCAAGGCATTGGTGGTGCTCGCCTTTGATCCCAGCACTGAGAAGGCAGAGGCAGGCGGATCTCTGTGAGTTCGAGACCAGCCTGGTCTACAGAGCAAGTTCCAAGATAGGCTCCAAAGCCCCAGAGAAATCCTGTCATGGAAAAAAAAAAAAGTTAGAAACCAAAAAGAGCAAATTATGAGTCAATAAAGGAGTTAAATCACTTGAATGGATTTAAAGTAAATACAATGGGTACCTGGGGGGAAAACTGCTTAGTAGCTATAACTACAAGGTAAATAAAACTCAAAAACTTGATGGGCATTGGTGGCACACACCATTAATCCTAGAACCCCAGAGACAAAGGCAGGTGGATCTCTGAATTCTAGGTCATCTGATCTACAGAGTTCTCAGACAGCCAGAGCTACACAGAGATACCCTCTCTTGAAGAACAAAACAAATCAAAAATCATTAAGATCAAGTTGGAAAGTGCTGGAGGGATAGTTCAGTAGCTAAGAGTAGTTGCTGCTCTTGTAGAGGACTCAGGTTCAGTCCCCAGTCCTAGCCACAGGTTACAGGTCACTGTAACTCCAGTTTCAGGCAATCTGGTACCCTCTTATGCTGGAACATAGGTTCACACACGGTACACAGATATACATGCAGGCAAAATATCCATACACATACGGTTATAAAATAAAAAACAATAAAGTATCTTGTCTTACCCTACACAGAATGACAGGCATCAAGAAAATGAAAAGTCAGGCTTTGGCAGGGATATACTGACAAAGGGATCCTTCCACACTGCTGGTGGGAACGTGATGTAGTCGCTGTAAAAGTCACCAGGCAGGTCCCTCAGAAAGGGAAAAGTAGGCCTTCCATTTGGTTCAGTCAGGTCACTCCTGTGTACACAAAAACATCAAACAAACCCCTCTCCAGACGCCTTCCAACTCAGGTGATTGCTCACTCTTTACAGTAGCCCGGTTGCCAAATCAGTCCAGGTGGATTTTTTTTACATGTGCCGTATATACACAGTAGTGATTTGTTTATCCATGAAGAATGAAAGCATGTAGTGTATAAGAAAATGGACTCAGAGATCATGTTAAATGAAATAAGCCCATCCCATAAAAAAATCAATTCCACAAGTTTTCTCTCGTATGTGGAAGTGCTGGGGGCATGAAGTTAAAGCAGAAGGTGACTATACTGGCAATGTGGAAGGGAAAGGGGGAGAGAAAGGGGGAAGAAAGGTGAACGGGATGGGTATGACTGAAGTATAGGATGCATGGATGGAAAAGGTATAGTGAAAAACAGCTGGCCCGTGATGGCGCACGCCTTTAATCCCAGCACTCGGGAGCAGAGGCAGGCGGGTTCTGTGAGTTTGAGGCCAGCCTGGTCTACAAGAGCTAGTTCCAGGACATCTAGGGCTTTTACAAACAGAAACCCTGTCTCAAGAAAACAAACAAAAACCAAAACCAGTGTACTGAGTTCTCTTTCTCAGAGGTTTTATCTTAAAGTATGTTGATGACATTTATTTATTGTGTGTGTATGTATGTGTCTGTGTATATATGTTGTATGGAGGCATATACATGCCACAGCGTATGTGTGGAGGTCAGAGAACAACTTGTAGGATTCATTTTTCTTTTTTCTGTATGTGTACCAGTCCTGGGGCTCAAACTCAGTCGTTGGGCTTGGCAGAAGCACCTTTATCCACTGAGTCATCTTGCCAGCCCAGGGTCTTTATCTGATGGTTCAAACCTATTAGTTAAGAATATACATTCTCCCAAAGAGAATGAAATTGGCTCATCATTCGTCTTATTCTATAGGCTGGCCCAGTGCCCAAACATATTGCTTTCATAATGGATGGAAACCGTCGTTATGCCAAGAAGTGCCAGGTGGAGCGGCAGGAGGGCCACTCACAGGGCTTCAACAAGCTTGCTGAGGTGGGTATGGGTGACAGAACCTAAAGTGAGCAACTTGAACTAGATGACAGTGAAAATGAAACTTTGAGTTGTGGCTTAAGTGCTTTTTTATTTTTGTTTTGTTGTATTGCTTCTTTGCCAGCCATACTGGGATTTACAAAACTGGAGTTTGTAGTTGTCAGGCTATTTTGTTTTGTTTTTCCCTTTCTACCTATATTCTAGTGACAGAAATTTGCTTACTTGTTATTTTTGAGAGAGGGTTTTGCTGTGTAACCCTGGTTGTCTTGGAAGTCACTATGTAGACCAGGCTGGCCCAAACTCACAGAGATCTGCCTGCCTCTGCCTCCCAAGTGCTGGGATTAAAGGCGTGTGCCACCACCACCCAGTCTAGCTAAATGTCTTAAAAGTCAAAGTAAATAAATAAAGAACTGTTGGGGAGGTAGGTCAGTGGGTATAGTATTTGCCTAGCATGAACAAAGCCCTGGGTTCAGTACCAGCAGAGAGTGAGTTCCAGAACAGCCAGGGTTACAGAGTTACACAGAGAAACCGGATCTCAGAAAGAAAAATAAAAGAAATCAGCAACAAAGACAGCACCTCCCTATGTATCCCAGCCGGACTTAAACTTGGGGTTCTCTCTCCTCAGCCTCTTAAGAGTTCTCAGTGTGGTGTGTCGATGCTCCCAGAAGTTACTTTTGACATGGTCCAGCTTTCAAAGTTGACTAATATGTCATGTATAAAGTAGCATGACAGCAACAGTCTACTTCTGATAGTTGTCTGGAAAGTGAAACACAGGAACACCTTTTGCCAACTGTGAAGTGCTGCCCAGTGAGTGCTCCAGTTGTTGCTTCTGTTCTGACCTCCCAGGCTTGGTCTGAAGTCATCAAGATGTTATGTTCTGCCTGTCAGGATAGATCTGTAGTCCCTTTCTGCAGGTAGAGAAACCTAGACCCACAGAGGCTAGTGATTGCCTACAGTTCTTTATGAGGCCATGATGGAGTCATTGGCTAGAAACCTAGGACTTTATGTTCTTGCTGAAGAACTCTTTGGGATAAAATACAGATGAGTTTTTAGTTTTTCTTTGTTTGTTTTTTGCTTTTTCAGATATTGTTTCCTGTAGCCCAGGCTGACCTCAAACTCTTGACCTTCCCGTTTACACCTCCCAGATACTCAGATTATAAAGACTTCACCAACGTGCCTGGATAAACTTCTTTTTTTTTTTTTTTTTCTTTTTTGACACAGGGTCTTGTTATGTAGTCTAGGCTAGCCTTGATCCTTGTGCCCCAGCTTCTCAAACACTGGGATTTCTAGAACTAAGCCACCATAGCCAGCCTCAGATTTTTCCGTTCCCTGCTCACCTCTCCCCATTCCTCCCGTGTCCTAGCTCTTTATCTTCTCCCCCTCAGACGTTACGCTGGTGTTTGAACCTGGGCATCCTAGAAGTGACTGTGTATGCGTTCAGCATTGAGAACTTCAAACGTTCCAAGAGTGAGGTTGACGGGCTGCTGGACCTAGCCCGACAGAAGTTCAGCTGCTTGATGGAAGAACAGTAAGATGCTGGCCAGACTGAAAACTTCTCATTCCACCACCTCTAACCCTCCCTGACCTCAGCCCCCAGCTCTTTTATCTGAAACCTATTCAGGAGGATGACATCCAAGGTTATCCACTGGCCTCCACATGCACACACAGGAAAAACAGAACTACTAGTCTACCTGTGTTTATTGGTTGGGACATTAAATCCCTGTGAAAAGAGAAGGCCTTGTAGTTGGCCACAGTGAGTTAGCGACAGAGCTGTTTTGGGAACACAGTCCTGGCTCCTCCAGGATCTTTGTAGTTCCTCTGTAAACCTCAAGGGCTTCTTGCCTCTGTTCTCTGAGAATAAGCATTGCCATGCACCCCTTTCAATTTACCACCTGTCAGGACTGGGACTGTGGCAGGGCCATTTTGTCTCAGGCTTTCAGGTCAGGGAGACTGAGAGACAAATAGGGGCCGAGCTCAGAGACGCCACGAGTTCATTCAAGATCATCAAAAGTGGGGGCGCTTGAATTGAAATCTAGGTCTTACTCAAATTTTGCTTTGATTAGGCTATACATTGATGTTTGTTTTGTTTTTCAAAGATTTGTATATTATATATTTGGTGTTATGCCTGTATATATGCCTTCATTCCAGAAGAGGGCACCAGATTTCATTATTATAGTCTTCTGGGCCTCAGTCTGCTTGTCTGTGAAGGGGAACTTAGAGTGTGTACTTGAGAGTATGGTGCAGGGATTGAAGTTGTTGGTTGGAGTAATTGGACCACCATCTAATCCCACAAAATATGTACTCTCAGCTATCATTATTATCTTACTTCACCAGAACATAGCAGATGTCACCAATATTACAGATCCTGCTCTGGAGCAGTTTACTAGCTTGCTAGAATTGGACAGATGTCACAGAATGTGTAAAATACAACTCTCCATAAGGACAGCTGAGGTGGTGTCATATGGCCGAGAGTTTATATTCTCAAGGCAGACAGATATGGTCAAGCCAAACATGACACTGGAAATGACCTTGGACAGTTTCCATGCCTCAGTGCTATAGATCGAGTTTCTGAGTGTTGATTCGAGTTCTGAAATAATATATGTAACAGTGCCTGGCATGGGACAGCACTCAGATAGCTGCTTGGCTGTTGCCTAAGTACCTACTTCTCATCAGGTACCATGTTACATGCTGCCTCCTTTTTCCCTGGTCAGGGAGAAGCTACAGAAGCATGGGGTATGTATCCGTGTCTTAGGTGATCTGCATTTGTTGCCTTTGGACCTCCAGGAGAAGATTGCACATGCTGTCCAGGCTACTAAGAACTACAACAAGTAAGTTCTCAGGCTGTCCCTTAAGTACAACCAAGGACTAGTTAGTGATGCTTCTTGCACCTGGAGAGGAGGCCATCTGCCTGACCAGTTACTCACTACAAACCCAGTTCCTCACCACTTGCCCCCCACATGTGTTTATGTAATTATAAATGTGCACACATACAGACACAGCACAAATACTGTCACTTGACAAGAGCTGGGATAGAGATCCATTAGTCCTAGGCCAGGTGTGGTTGTACATACCCTTAATCCCACCACTCAGACAGAACAGGCATATTTCTGTGAGTTTGAGGCTAACCTGGGCAACATAGAGAGACCCTGCCTCAAAACAGAAATCCTTGTCTGTAGGCCTTTGAAGAGTCTTTTCTTATTTGTTTGGTTTTTCAAGACAGAGTTTCTCTGTGGAGCCCTGTCTGTCCTGGAACTAGACCAGGCTAGACTGAACTCAGGCATCAACTTGCCTCTGTCTCCCAATGCTGGGATTGAGGGCGTGTCTCACCACGGCCTGGCACAACAATCTTTTCTGTCCTACTCTTTGGTCCATGGACAGATTTAGAGGCCAGGGTTCAGTAATCACACAACATTGTGTGTGACTTTAAATAATACTGTTTGGCAGTGATTTTATTTTATATTTGGTCTCCTATGTTTATACTAATATCACAGTGGATTTCTCTCCTCTAGGCTGGTTGTCAGTAGAGGGGGGAAGGGTTAAGAAGGCAATAAAGGTCATTTTGTTTTGATCTAATGAAATGGGGAACATGCTTATTCCAAGAACTCTTAGAAATCATAAAACAACCCACAATCTCACCCTTCAAAAATATGCTGGGAACACAAAGTGCCTGTTCCCTTCCAGGGAATGGCTGCCCTGGAGTCAGACTCTGGCTGTCAGCTGCTGCCCCTGTTTGGTGAGTTACTATGCTCTGCCATCCTCAGGTGTTTCCTCAATGTCTGCTTTGCATACACATCCCGTCATGAGATCACCAACGCCGTGAGAGAGATGGCCTGGGGAGTAGAGCAAGGTCTGCTGGAACCCAGGTACTTGGGGCTATCTTTCCCTGTAGCTGATGGGAAACCCGGATGCACTAAGGATTAGAACCTGTTCTGAGCCATGTGCTTGGCCAGAGCTCAAGTCAGGGGTATACGTGGGAAGATTTAGAAGATTTCCCCCAAACAAGAGGTTAGGATCATCTGAGTAGACCACACACCAACAAACTGAGAAACAGCAGAGCAGCTGGTGAGAAATGACACCCCGCTTGTCCCCTTTTTAACACTTTTTCCAGCCATTCTTTTGTATGCATTCTTGTGGAGGAGAATCTTTTAGGTTTCTCATAATATTATAATTTCATACCACAGGATTAAGGTATTGTGAGGGATGGGTAGAGAGAGAAAGGAAGGGGAATTTTTAATCATTACCAGTGTAGAATCCTATTTATTAAGGCTTGGAGGAATAGAGGAATTTTTGAAGACATCTGTCTATTTGGGCCTTTTAATGTTGTTACTAATATAATCTTTGATAATATTAGTAGATTCATAATAACAATAGTAAAATACAAGTAACAGAAATAATTGCAGCAATGTGTTATGTTCCCTGTTTGCTGTTGATCTCATGGGAGACAGTCAAGTCTTCTTTTCATTTTATAGATGTGGAAACCGAGAGTAGCATATCCAAGGTCAGTCACCAATTCCAGATTCCCTGTCTTTTTTATTATTATATGAGCTCTTGGGATTTAAGGAATTTTCTGATTTCCTTTTCTAGTATAATATGATTGGCTGAAAACTAAAAAGCATGAAATTGGGGTGGGCATGGTGGCACAAACCCATACTCCTACCTACTTAGAACACTTGCAAGTTTGGGACCAGCCTAAACAACATAGTGAGACTCGTATGTCAGAACGACAACAAAAATATCAAGACATTACAGTGAGGCTGTAGTTCAGTTGTGGAGCACTTGCTTAGTAGATGTATGACCTCGGGTTTGATCTCTGGTACCATAAAAGAAAAGCATTTGTTCATTGAACAAATGAAAAGACAGGTGGCCCTTTAAAAAAAAAAAAGATTGATTTTTACCCAGAAAGTACTGTTTTGTTTTTTAAGATTTTTTTTTAACATATGTATGCGTGTATGTCTGTGTGGGGGAATGTACACATGAATGCAGTTATCCTCAGAGGCCAGAGAGGGTGTCAGATCTCCTGGAACTGCCTGTGGGTGCTGGAAATCGAGCTCAGTCCTCTGGCAGAGTAGCAGTCATTCTTAACCGTGAGCCGTCTCTTCAGCCTCAGAAAGTACTGTTTTCTTTCTTTGTGTCTTCATACAGGGTCTCAATATTGGCTCTGTTTGGTTGGAATTTAGACCATGGATCACCAGGTCTGTCTGTCTCTGTCTCCCATGTGCCAGGATTAAGGATGTGTGCCACTATGCCTGGCTCAGCCCTGTATTAATTTTTCTAGTCCTGACTTTGGGTAAGCACATTGCACTGTATAAGGAGATACAGTGGTGAGAATATAAAGATCTACTTTTCCCCCCTGTGTTTTGAAGTGCTGGTAAAGGAAATAGGCATCAGTAAGATACAAATGATCCATTGGTGCACAGTACTGCAGGAATTTATGGTAAGAGGGAAGAAGCAGTAGTTAACTAGGGCACAAGGCAGGACTATGAGGTGAGCCTTGGTTGTAGCAACTCCTGAATAGTAAGGTGCCATTGAAAGGGAGCCTGGATTCTAATGGTACTGGAATGGACAAAGCAGCCTGCACTGAGCTGCAAAGGGAAGAATTAGGAGATCTCAATGAACTGATTCTGGAGAAAGGTTGTGTTATCCTGGATGTTTGACCGATAGATTTTAACAGTGGACATTGGTGGCTTTCACTATGCCAGGGAACCTTAGACAGGATCCCGTTAAAGAACAGCCAAAAGTTTGGTTCTGGGCTTGTCATAGTACAGAGATGTTGGATCAGTGGTCTAAGGGCATCAGGACCATAAGTACTCCAGCAGGAAGGTCATCTGTAGGGTGATGGAGTGAGGAGGGCAAGAGGGAGCCTAAGAGTCTTGTGTGAGTAGAGGGCCAAGAGCGGAGTTTGAGAAACTGTCCTTCTGAGCCTGTAGGACAGATGGGCACTTCACAAGAAGAATGTATGGTTGGGCCGGGCGGTGGTGGCGCACGCCTTTAATCCCAGCACTCGGGAGGCAGAGGCAGGTGGATCTCTGTGAGTTTGAGACCAGCCTGGTCTACAAGAGCTAGTTCCAGGACAGCCTCCAAAGCCACAGAGAAACCCTGTCTCAAAAAAACAAAACAAAACAAAAAGAATGGATGGTTGGTGTGACAAAACACAAAAGAGGGAATTTGTCGGTACAGATTGTGAAGGAGGTGGGCACAGGTTGGCATGATGGAGCCAATGCTCTAGGAGGGTAAATTAACTTGTAGATTATAACTTGACTGTTGGGGAAATTAAGACCCTGGGTAAGTGGATGGGAATAGGCAGAAAGGGAACATACAAGGGTGGAGATAGGTTTGAACCTGGTATATGAAGGCCCTGGTTTCAATTTCTAGCACTTCCTAGCCCAGAGAGGGAGAGACAGAGAAAACATGAGAACATATATGTGTAGATGCACATTATTGGTAATTAGCTTAGCAGTAATTTCATAGTTGTTTGTTATATTATGCTTTATGATTCATGTTTCATGTAGTCTTACATGTATAAAATAATAATTGAAGTAACGGTGAAAACTATTTATGCCAGAAAGGATACTGTCATTCAACAAGCAGATTTAACATATTCTTGCTCTGAGGAACTCTGGCCTGACCCCTAGTACAGCATGCTTTAACATTTCGCTATGCATCAGTATCCACTTACACACAGGAAGTGTTTCCAAACTGTCTTCCTGACTCTGTCGACAGGGTAGATAGAATCAGCAGGGTCAAGAGGCCCACACCTCCTGCAGCTTGATTCTCAGCTTCTACTGAGTTTATTAGGACCTGCTTTCCAAAGTGACACAAGTCTACATTTGTATCAGGGTCGTTAGAATTAGGTTCAACTAAGTAAATAGACTTTCTGTGCTCTGTGTGCTATCACCCAACTCTTCTTTCATTAGGATAGGGCTTTTTTTTTTTTTTTTTTTTTTTTTTTTAAGAAATTGGGGGGCTGGAGAGATGGCTCAGAGGTTAAGAGCACTGGCTGTTGTTAGTTCAATTCCCAGCAACCACATGGAGTCCTACAACCATCTGTAGTGGAATCTGATGCCCTCTTCTGGCACAAAGGCATACATGCAGATAGAGCACTCATACATAAAAATGAATAAATCTTAAAAAAGAAAAAAGAAAGAAAATAGGTTGAAGATGGTGGTGGTGCACGCCTTTAATCCCAACACTAGGGAAGCAGAGACAGGCGGATCTCTGTGAATTGGAGGCCAGACTGGTCTACAGAGTGAGTTCCTGGACAGCTAGGGCTACATAGAGAAACTCTGTCTCCAAGAAAGAAAAAAAGAAAAAGAAAAATTAACAGGTTATTTCTGAGCCTGGAATTAGAGAAAGAATAAGGCTGGCCTTCAAGGTTGGTCAGTAAACTTTTACTTTGAATAGGCTGTTTGACCTCCTGTGGTCCTCTGTCCTCTGTGTGAAATAATTGTGACCATTTACTGAGTAAGCACAAAGGCCATTCGAATTTTCTGTATTCCAAGTGTATAGTGGGAAATTACCAATACGGAGTCAGGTAGAAATATAAGGGTATTTAATAGGGAAAAGCCTTACTTACAGAGCGAGCTAGCCAGTAGGCCTGTCTGGCAAGCCCCAAAAGAGAAACCGCAGTCCCCTTCAAGTCTCGCTCCATGTCACCCTGACCACGCCCTCGCAAGCATGGTCGGCACACCTGTAGCCAGCCCCTAAGTGGGCGTGGCTACAACTTCCCCTACACAAGTGTTTTAAAAATTATTGTTGTTGAGGGGGGAGGATTGGGGGGAAGGGGAGGGGGAGGGAAAAGGGATTGACATGCGAAGCAAGCTTGTTCCTAATTTGAACTAAAAAATAAAATTATTGTTATTATTATTTGGTTTTTCAAGGAAGGGTTTCTCTGCGTAGCACTGGCTGTCCTGGCAGTCACTCTGTAGACCAGACTGGCCTTGAACTCACAGACTTGCCTCTCCTCCTGAGTGCTGGGATTAAAGGTGAGTGACACCACCCGGCATTGTCCCAGTTTTAAAAATGTTCTCTTCAGAGAGCACTGACCTCAGTTTCTTGATGCCCCTGGTTTGCCTACTGAACGGAATGCTGCAAGTATAGGCATTTGCCACCACACTCACCTCTCAGATGCCTTCACTTCCTGGACTGTAATGTGCATACAGTTTTTACTTCATTTTATTCATGTAATTTATGTGTGTAGGTACAGTGTTATGCATGCCGTAGTACGTGAGTGAAGGTCGGAGGATTGCCTCCAGGTGTGGAGCCTCACCTTTCCACATCATTTGACACGGGATCTTTTTGCTCTGTGTAAGGCAGGCCAGCTGGCCCTCAAACTTCTGGAGGTTCTGCTGTGCCTGCCTCTCCGCCTACAGATACTTGATTTACTGTATCTGGTTTTTACAGGTTTCTGGAGATCCAGCCTCTGGTCAGCAGCCAGCACTTTCACATACTGAGCCGTCTTCCTAGCCTTTCCATTCATTTTAAAGATAAGAACACAGAAGGAGAAAAAAGTAATTTCCTGCAGGGCGTTGGTGGCGCATGTCTTTAATCCCAGCACTCGGGAGGCAGAGGCAGGTGGATCACTGTGAGTTGGAGGCCAGCCTGGTCTTCGGAGCAAGTGGCGGGATAGGCTCCAAAGCTAGAAACCCTGTCTCGAAAAACCAAAAAAAAAAAAAAAAAGATAAAAAGAAAAAAGAAAAGAAAAAGAAAAAAGTAATTTTTCTAAGTTTATATAGTTTGCAAACCTGCCTTGTGTTCTTTGAATTTAGCATATTGACTACCTTTTAGGAAGGCTGAAATGGATAAAGAAATCTAACAAAGCAACTAACAGTGCTGGCGATATGATTCTAATTTCTCATTACAAAGGATGAAATCCAGCCAGCATAGTAGTGGTTTCTTTGTAGGCCAAGCTGTCCTTGAACTCTCTCTCTGTAGACCAGGCTGGCCTCGAACTCACAGAGACCCACCTACCTACTTCTGCCTCCTGAGTGCGCCACCACTACCTGGCCCTAAGTTTTTTAAAAAAGAAGAACCCAGTTGCATAGTGTTTCCTTATGTTGCTAGGTCATAGGGTGCCTCTTAAAAGCAAAACATCAAATGAAGAGCAACAGTCTAGAAGACACACCTGGTTTTAGGCCCTATAAGTAAAAGAGTTTGGGCAAATTATTTATCTCTGAGCTTCACTTTTCTGTATCTGTAAAAAGGGGTTACGGATGTCCTATGTAAGGCTTAGAATGATGTAGTATATATACTGTTAGAGTACTTGTACATTTATCAAGACCCTGGGTTCAATCCTGTCCTGCAGAAAACTTATTGTATGTGGTTGTGCAGATTTGAAGTCATTCTTGAGGCTGGTGATGCACTAGCAAATGTATTTAATAGTGGCCTATAAACTAGGAGTTCACCAAGAGAGTACTGCAAAAAGAGATGTGTGCTCTGTTTCCTGATCACTTAGTGATGTCTCCGAGTCCCTGCTTGATAAGTGCCTGTATAGCAACCACTCTCCTCATCCCGACATCTTGATTCGGACCTCTGGAGAAGTTCGTTTGAGCGACTTCTTGCTCTGGCAGGTAGGTGGTTTTGTAGCATGTTATTTTGGCATTGAGCTGAACCCAAGAACTGTACCCACACCCTGAATGAGAGTGATTTGGTCCCCTTCAGTACCATTGTATGAGTAGGGGCAGAGGGCTAACATCTAGAGCAATCCCTCTAGGCTGTACCTGGTAACGTTTACTTTTCTTTCCGCACCTGACCCTGGGTGTTTAAAGCATTTCTTGCTATCTGAAGTGCAGGGCTTTTGTCCTAAAGAGAAAGCAAAGCCATCCTACCCTAATGAAAACTTCACATATGCCCCCCTTTCAAGGAACGGGCCCTTGAAACTGTGGTTAACCTGACAATCACTCACTCTAGCATGGCAAGAACCTTACCTTTCTGTTAATAGTCTCCTCTTTAGGACATGGACTATATCTCTGCGGGCATATTTCATGAGAGACTTAAACTGTATCCAAACTCTCAGGCTTTTTGTTCAGTTATTCCAGCATAGGTAGTCCCTAAAAGTTCGAATTCAATTAGGACTATTGATTATTTAAACATCTCTGCATCATGGTGCACACCTTTAATCCCAGCATTCAGGAGGCAGAGGCAGACAGATCTCTGTGAATTTGAGGCCAGTCTGGTCTACAAAGTGAGTTCCAGGATAGCCAGGACTGGACTGTTTCACAGAGAAACCCTGTCTCGAAAAAACAAAACAAAAAAGTGAGGGCCTAGGAAGATGGTGCATTTGTGAAGGCTTGGTGCATAAGCATAACAACCTGAATTTGAGCCTGGACACCCATAAAGAAGCCTGCTGTGATGGTGCGCACTCAAAATCCTAATGCTTGAAAAGTGGAGGCAGAAGGATCCCTGGAGCTCTCGGCCAGCCCTGCCTGATCTACAAGCCCCAGTATAAAAGAAAGATCCCATTTCATGAGGAACAATAGCCAAGCTATTAAAAATAGACAGCTACTGAAAATGTTTCTTTTTAGTCTTTGAGTATCTTGAAGGGAATACAGTGTATACAAAATGGTTCAGAGCCAAGTGGTGATGGTGCACACCTCTAATCCCAGAACGTGGGAGGCAGAGGCAGGTGGGTCTCTTATGAGTTTGAGGACATCCTGATCTATAGAGTGAGTTCCAGGACAGCCAGTGCTACACAGAGAAACCCTGTGGGAGGGGTTGGGGGGGGGAAGAATACTTCCTCCTGTTCCAGAGAAAGTGTTTGGTATCTTGGTAGCAGCTTTGGGGAAGGTGACATTGGTCTAGAATAGCAAACAAGCTGTCCCCTGTGACACGGTTGTTTAACGCAGCAGACAGTATACAGTGGCTATCAGGAATATTTGGGGCTAGGGTTAGCTTAGTTGTAATAATGATAGTTCCTGTTCACGCTGTCCTGTGCTCTCCTTCATGCACATTTAATCTTCATAGTTCCATAAAACCATAGTTCCATAAAACTCAGTGTAATCTGCCTTTACACTTGAAGCTGAGGCCCAAAGAGGCTAAATAACTCATCCAGTTCAGTGGTAATGGTAGACCCAGGCAGTTTGGCTCTAGAGCCCATGGGTTTAAACATGGTGTCACAGTGTTGCTACTTAAAATAACAGGAGCTGCTACCATTTGTTCTGGCTGACTTCATCAGACTGTGTGCATCTCAGGTGACCTCCAAGAGCGAATAACATAATCCAGATGTTATTTCAGCATCCTAAAATTGGCTTTTAGAGACACGGTGGAGCTGGGTGTGGTAGCACAGGCCTTTGATCCTAAATCTCGGGAAGCAAGCAGAGCAATGTAAGTTTCAGGACAGCCTGAATTCTACACATTGAATTCCATTTGAGTCATTGCTACACAGTGAGACTTTATCTCAAACAAAAGAAAAACAGGGAAAGACCTGGTAGAAACATAGATCTAGTCTAGTTCTGCTTTGCCACAGGCAGGTGATCTAATAGCCTTCTGATCCCTCTTCCAACAATGAGGGAAATGGGCTGGCCAAAAACATCCAGAGCTCTGCAAACCTGTGCCATCTTGTTTGCCCCCTCTCAGCCTGCCCCTCCATTGGAGGACTGACCAGCAGTGCAGGCCGCCCCCCCGCCCCCGGGTGTGACTAACTCATGCTCTCTTCCTTACTATTACCAGACCTCGCATTCCTGCCTGGTGTTCCAGCCTGTTCTGTGGCCAGAGTACACATTCTGGAACCTCTGTGAGGCCATCCTGCAGTTTCAGATGAACCATGGTGCACTTCAGGTACGAGTTGGGCAGGGTGGGATGGAAAGAGGTTGGCACTGCAGACCCACCTTGCACTATATCTTGCTGAGTACTTTTAAAAAAATTATTGCGTTTATTTATTTGTATATGTATTGTTCGCCTAGATGTGCCGTAGCGTATGTGTGGAGGACAGCTTTTGGGAGTTGGTTCTCTCCTTCATGCAAAGAGTCTCAAGAATTGAACTCAGGTTGTCAAGCTTGGTGACAGGTGCTTTTACCCACTGAGCCATCTTTCCAGCCCACCAAACATTCCTTGACAAACATAAAGATAATCAGCAGGGTTATACCCACCGCCCACTGATCATGTACTGTATGTCAGATGCTACATGGCTCCCACATGCCGCACCTCGCTCATTACTGCTCCCAATAACTCAGTAAGGACGGCCTTGTTAGCCTCTCATGTACAATTGAGTGAACAGTTAAAAAGACTGCGCCATGGTGCTGTAGGATTTAATCCTAGCACTCAAGAAGCAGGGGCAGAGGCCAGCCAGGGCCTAGTCTCAGAAAAATAAAGAAAGGAAAAGGAAAAAAAAAATATTGTGTAGGAACCAATATGGTATAAGGTATCCTAAAGACACAGGAAAAAACCAATTCATATTTTTCAGTAGTCTCTAAAGATGTTAGACAAACTCATAGCTGGTGACACCCACCTGTCCTACTAGCTAATGGGAGGCAGAGGAAGGAGGATTTCACAAGGCCAGTAATAAATTGTGTGACAGTTGAAGTCTGCAGAGCACTCTTCGAGAACCACTCATGAGCAGCCTTGTCTTCCTGCCATCAGGAGTCTTTCTGGGTGCTCTGTCCATGGCTGATCACCATGGCTAACATGGCTAGGGCTGCAGACAGTGAGGGGCTCTGCTGGTGCTTTTTAGTTTCATTTTTCTATGCATCAGTGTGAGGGTCAGATCCCCTGGGACTGGAGTTACAGACAGTTGTGAGCTGCCATGTAGGTGCTGGGAATTGAACCTGAGTCTCTGGAAGAGCAGCCAGTGCTGTTAACCACTGAGCCATCTCTCCAGCCCTGGTGGCTCTTGTATATTATCTATTTAACCCTCCCTAAATGTAACAGATTTGGTGTCCTCATTTTTCAGATACGAAAACAGGGACAGAGAGACTAACTGTGTCAAGGTCACAGAGCTAGGAACCTGAATTTTGAAATCTGCTGTTTCTTAAGTCTGGAAGATAATGGCCAGGAAGAAGGAATGATGTAAGCCAGGAGTCTTGTTGGTCTTAGGGCCCCTTTTGGGAACCTAATGAAAACAAAAGAACATGTGTGGTGAAAACCAGGTCTACTTCCCATAGGATCGTACTTACACTCAACTACGTGGAATGCTTTCGGGTTCACAGAATCCCTGAAATCTGTACAGGAACCCATGTTCTGAACTCTTGGCATTTGTTTCTTGAGTTATGAGGGTTTTATTGAGTCTCAAAATATGAGTAGTTTGAACAAGGCAGCTTGGAACAAATGAAAAGACTAGCAAAGCCTCAGTTACCTGCTGCCGGTGAGGAGTTTCCCACATGACTAAAGCTTCATCTGAAACTTAAGACATTTTTTGCTAAAAAGCTTTCTGCAGTATATTTTGTAATTCATTGACACTTACAGTATACCAAGCAGCTGCTAATTGTGATGGTCAGAGCAATCACATTCTAACGATGAGGATAATGATGACAGTAACTACTGTCTCAAGCATTTCATTGTACTGCGATGCCTTTGAAGATTAGGACTGTTGATTTCCTACATCAACATGGTCCCCAAAGATCTGGCTTTAAGATATCTTGTATAATTTTCTAAGTCCTTCCTCTTTTGTCTCCTGCTGTGTCAGTGGCTAATTTTGAGAGCATCCCCCCTTCCCTTTCCTTCCTGTTTACTGTTTTAAATCAACTGTAGGCAAAGAAAGCAGGTAATTACACACAGTAGAGTTGTGTGTCTATAAAGTGAGAGTAAACTGGCTCTGCATGACGCCCAGAGAGCCCGGGTGTGAGCCTTCCGTGTATGGATATTCTTGTGTGTAGCCCTATAATTTGAATGCCCGGAATCCTTTTATTATCTCCAGTTTCTCAGTGCTTTGCACATGGTTTGTAGACGATTTGCCACAGGTTCTATCTTCTTCATAAATGTTTATTTAAGAGTCCCTAGTATGAGTCAGGCATATTAGGCACAGGAGAACCAGCAGTTACCTAGCCAGACAAGATCTCTGCCCTTATGGAGCTTATATTTTTAGTTGAATAGACAGACAGTAAACAAGCAAACAAATGTAAGGAAATTTTCAGCTGTAGTAAGACAATAAAGAGTATACAGTGTGATGATAGTGTAATGAAAGAGTGTAGAGGCTGCCCGAGGCTATCCAGTTCATGTCTTGGGGATACTAGGAGGGAAGGTGGGGGAACAAGCCACAGGCAGTTAGGCCTCTTAGTCATGCAAAGCTTGGCAGGTATAAGTAACACAACCAGAGGACGTGGGGATGGGCAGAATCTGATAGGTTAAAAAAAGATCACGAGAGACTTTCAGGGGTGAGAGGCAATGCTGAGAGACTAAAGCCGTTTGGTGCTGGAGAGTAGATCCAAGATTTCCTGTAACTAGGCAGCACTGGACCCGCTGAGCTGCTTCTCCAGTCCTATACCTGCTTTCTGTTGTCTTCACTTATTTCTATTATTTTTAGTACTGGGATGGGGTTATGTACGCGTGAGTACAGTTACCCATAGAGGCCACCAGTCATGACACGTGAGTGCTGGAAACCCCTGAGCCGTTCCTCCTCGTTGATGTTGAGAGCACCCACATGGTGGCTCACAACCATCCTTAACCCCAACTCCAGGGAGCCCAGTGCCCTCTTTAGACCTCCAAGGACACCAGGCATGCACAAAGTGCACATACATACATGTAAGCAAATGCTCATACACATAAAATAAGTAAATCTTAAAAAAACTTTTTCTCATCTGTCCTTGCTTCTAAAAAAAAAAAAAAAAAAAATGGTTTAAGTATGGTGGTGCATGCCCTTAATTCTAGCACTGGGATGCAGAGGCTTTCTGAGTTCGAGGCCAGCCTGGTCTACAGAACAAGTTCCAGGACAGCCAGAGCTACATAGAGAAACCTTGTCTTGAAAAAAGAAGACTTTTTTTTTTTTTTTTTAAATGTGTATGAGTGTTTTGTCTCATTTGTGTGACTACACCATGTGATTTTATTTTATTGTTTTTTTAGGGGGATGTTCTTGAGACGTGGTTTCTCGGTGTAGCCCTGGCTGTCTTTGAACTGGTTCTGTAGACTAGGCTGGCCTCTGCCTCTGCCTTCTTAGTGCTGGGATAAAGGTGTGTGCCACTACTACCCCTCCTGATTTTCCTTTTCTTTTCCAAGAGATGTTATTACTGACTCTCCTGTCCAGCTCAAGCCCAGGCCCCAGTAAGTGGTAAAGAACTCAAGGCTTTGCTCCTTGTTCTTTGTGTCTTCTGAGTGTAGAAGAGCCGAGAGGCTCAGTACCATTTCTCAGAGTGACCTTCTCAGAGCCTTTGCACAAGGTTGCCTATGACCTGCATGAAGGTCTCTAAGAGAATCAGAGCTCTTGAGAAGGGAGTGGGAGGTAGAGGCAGGAGGACCCAGGAGTATAGGGTCATCCCCACTACGTGAGACCCTGTCTCAAAGAATGTTCCTTTGGTTGTTAGTAACACAGGTCATTACATATGCTCATGAGAGACCTGGACCTTTAGGACTGCTGATCCCTGGGCATGGTGCTGATCTCTGGGCATGGTGGTACACACCTTCCACCCTTGGACCAGGGGGTCAGAGGTAGCAAGATTGCCATGTGCTTGAAGGCAGCCTGAATTAAAGAGTAAGACTCCATCTAAAAACAAACCAAACAAAAAAAGAAAGAAAAAAGATGGTGGCTCTAAAGAGAGCTAGCAAAGTGCTTATAGAGCAAGCATGTGAATTTGGTCCCATATAAAAATTTGGGTATAGGACTGAGGGATGGACGGCTCAGTTGTTAAGAGCACACACAGCTCCTCCTGAGGACCTGAGTTCTGTTCCCAGCACCCATAGTGGGTGACTGACAACTGTCTACAACTCTGGCTCTAGGGAAGTCCGATGCTTCTGGCCTCCTGCACTTAATACTCAATTAGGCACACACACATACACATGACTAAAAAATAATCTGGGTGCAGGGCTTGAGAGAAGACTCAGTGGTTAAGAGCACTGGCTGTTCTTCCAGAGGTCCTGAGTTCAATTCCCAGCAACCACATGGTGGCTCACAACCATCTTCTGTCATGCAGGCATACATGCAAGTAGTGTACCACTCATATACATAAATAGATAAATCTTAAATAATAATCTGGATGTAGTAACCTGTTTGTAACCTCAGTGATGGAAAGGTGAAGACAGGCAGAACCTTGAGATTATCAGGGCAGCCATTGTAGCCTGAATTAGCAAGTGTCAGCTAGTGTGAGACCCTGTCTTAACAAGGCAGAACAGGCAAAGTGGTGCAATCCTCTAATCCTGGCACTGAGTGAGTGTTCGGACCTGCCTCAATAAAATTAAATAAAAGGTAGGAAGTTCCTGAGCAGGAACATCTGAGGTTGACCTCTGGTTTCCACATATATGTACCTGCACACAAGGGAACACACATAGCCACAGATATAAAGAGAAGGGAAAATAAGGACTTTGCTTAACTTGGGCTTGGGACAGGGTGTTTGTTTTAATTTTTTTCCTCCCTTTGTAGTAAGACCTATAGCTCTAGCTAGCATGGTACTCACTATGTTGTAATGCAATCCTAATTAGTCTTATTAAATAAAAACTTGGAGTCAGCTAAGGGGGGTGAAATCTGAAGGACCAGAGAAGCAGAACACCCAGCCACTAGAGTTCTTAACCTTTACCAATGCTCAGACCAAAGGGGCAATCCTGTCCCTACGAGTCCTCAGACTACATCCATCTCTATGACACCTCAGACTGAATGCCATGAGCTGCTGCTGTCTCCCTGTTTTATATTCCTTTCT